GGTCTCAGGCCGTGGTCGGGTTGTTCATTATCTCAGAATTGCTTCTGAGAAGCTCTGGAGGAGGTGGTTTCATTTTTGTCATGAAATGATTACTCCTGCTTAGAGGGACAGTCTCAGTTTTATCATGGGGTAATTGTTCCTGCTTAGGGGGGCAGTCTCAGCACAGGGTGATTTGTTCTGGGAGTCTCACTAGTGCTTGGGGGATAGTTTCTGTCCCTTGTCACAGAAATTCTTATAAACCAGGCCTGTTTAAACTGAAATCTGAGGTAAATGTAGAAGGAAGTGACTCAGAGGAAACACAGTTAAAGAGGCAAATGGATTTAGGAAGGGGCAAAATGGAGTTAGCAAGGGATAATAAATCTGGAATCATCAGTGTTTAGATGAATATTCCGAGTGATTAAAATGACTACTTGCAGAGCAGAGAAGGGACCTAACCCCAAATTTAAGGCGATGAAGGAGACAGAGAGGAAGTGAAAGCAGAGGTGCCAAGCTTTTTTCTTGCTTTAGTTACATGTTGGGTATCTGCATGCCCAAGGGAAGGATCCCTGCTTTTAGCCAAAGCAGCTTCTGATTCTCTGTTACCCTAGGAAGGTGCAGCCAAAGTCAGAGCACTGAGATTGTCATGTATCTCTTGGCTCCCACAGTCTCACTGAATGGATATGTGTCTATTTCCTGGCTTTTTGTACCTATAAATTGTAATGCTTCCGGGAGATGAGTGAAGGCACATTCACTGTCTTTCCAGCTTTGGTCAAACTGTCATTAAATTCATTTTTCCTTTTTATAGGGTTTTCTCTTATAGCTGATGTAGGTGGATGACCAAATCCAGTCAGTCAGAACCCAAATTCAGGCCTCTATTCTGGCCACCAGTAACAACTCATCATCCATTTGGAAGGGCTTTTCAAATTGGCTAAGACCCATCATCAACACAGCATGAGTAGGTGTCAGGGATTGGAAGGTGGGTGGCAAAGTTTTTTGGAGGTTTTTATCTAAGGACTGCAGGTCTTGGCAATGAGTCTGGGACACAGTGAGAAAATTTCAGTTAGGATGAGCAGGAACTTTGGAAGCCAGCAAGCAACAAGAAGGTAGGCAGCTGATATCTGTCACACGGAAATCTAGATGTGATGGATATTCTTCTTTACATAAAAAGATTAGTCTAATCCAATGAGAGCTGTGTATGTGACCAGAAAGTTGTTACCACAGGAGAGATTACTGTTCATTTGAAAACAGTTATTACCTTTTGTGAGTCACCGAAACCCAGTGTACTGGATTAATTGGAGATTGGGGACTTTGAAGTTAGCATGATGCTGAGACATTGTATTTTCTTTATTTTTGGTTTTGTCTTAGATTAATGCATTGCCCTATATTAGTGAGAGAAATGGACGACTTTGTTTCTTTCTTTTCCTTTATGCATGTTTTTCTGGTTATATAGCATTTCAACTGGATGTTTTGATGTTTTGCATTTGTTAGACCAATTTAATCACTTGTTATTTTTTTGACTGGAGAATTATAAAGGCCCTATATCTCTTTGAGGAAGATTCCTAGCCAGGAACTGAGCAGCTGCTCAGTATGTGAGTTACAAATTTAACCCAGTTACAGGGAAGGAAACTCTACACATGCTTCTAACACTGTTACTTTATTTATATAATTTTTAGCCCACTGTTTTGCAACAGCATGGGTAATCTTTCTTGGGTATTTTAGTTCCAATTGTTGTCTTTTATTAATGGGAACCTCAAAATGTTTAATTTACATCTTGAGTCAATGAGGTATTTAAAGTTAAGCAATTGTTAATTCCTTGCATCTTATCAGATCATAATGGAATGAAATTAGAAATTAATATGACAAAACCTACAGAAACTACGTAAACACATTGAGATTGAACAATGCTCATTTGAATGATGAATTTTTGATAGAAGAAATCAAGGTAGAAATTAAAAAAATTCTTAGACTCACATAAGACTAGTGATACAACATATCAGAACCTCTGGGACCTGATGAAGGCGGTTCTAAGAGGAAAGTTTATAGCTATGAGTATGTATCTGAGAAAATCAGCAACATTCCAAATAAATAGCTTAATGATGTATCTCAAGTCCCTGAAAAAGAAAAACACATCAATTCCTAAACCAGTAGAAGGAAGGAAATAATTAAAATCAGAGCCAAATCAATAAACTTGAGAATGAAAAGAACAGTACAAAGGATTGGTGAAACAGAGATTTTTAAAAAATAACTTTATTTATTTATTTATGTGGTGCTGAGGATTGAACCCAGGGCCCTGCACTACTGAGCCATAGCCCCAGCTCCTCCGAAACAGAGATTTTGTTCCTTGAAAAGTTAAACAAAATTGATAAGCTCTTAGCCAAACTAACCAAAAGGAAAAGAAAAAAGAAAAAAACAACCAAAAAACCAAAAAAACCCGAAATTAATAAAATTAGAGAGGAAAAAGGAGAAATCACCACAGACATCTCAGATCCAGCAGATCATATACTCTAAGAAATTGGAAATCCCAGGGATACATTTCTAAACAAATAAAATGTGCCAAAACTGAATCAAGGAGACATAGAAAACCTAAACAGATCAATCAATAACTTATAATAAGGTACAAGCAGCGATAAAATGTCTTCAAACAAAGAAAATCCCAGGACCAGATGAATTCTCAACTGAATCCTATGAAACCTTTAAAGAATAACTAATGCCAATACTCCTCAAATTATTCCATGGAGTAGAAAGAGAAAACTTCATTCTATGAAGCCAGTATCACATTTACACCAAACTAGATAAGGACACATCAAGAAAAAAAAAAAAAAAAAAAACTACAGACCAATGTCCTGATGAACACAGATGCAAGAATTCTTAATAAAATATTAGAAAATTGTGTTCAACAACAGATTAAGAAGATTGCACACCATAACCAAGTTGCTTTTATTCCACAGATGCAAGGATAGTTTAATATATGTAAATCAGTAAATGTAATTCATCACATAGATAAAAATAAGGACAAAATCACTGTTAGCTCAATAAATGCAAAGAAGACCTTTTACAAAATTCAGACCCATTCATGATAAATACATTGAAGAAGCTAGGGATAGAAGGAACCTGCCTCAACATATAAAGTTTACATATGAAAAACCCCAAACCAAACTCATAGTAAATGGGAAAGACTAAAAGCATTTCTTTAAAATTTGTGACAAGACACTGTCACCACTATATTTAATATAGTCCTAGAAATCTAGCCAGAGCAATTAGGCAAGAGAAGGAAATGAAAAGGGTGAAAATAGGAAATGAAGATATCAAATTATCACTGGTTGCAGATGATATGAATCTTTACCTGTAAGATCCAAAAAGCTTTACCAAAAGATACTAGAGCTAATAAACAAATTCAGCAAAGTAGCAGGTTGCCAAATCAACACACAGAAACCAATAGTTTTTCTGTATACCAACAGTGAATCTGTTGAGAAATATGACTCCATTCACAATAGCCAAAAAATACATACATACGTACCTAGAAATAAATTGACAAAGGAGGTGAAAGACCTTTACAATGAAAACTGTGGAACATTGAAGAAAGAAATTGAAGAAGACGTCAGAAGATGGAAAGACCTTCCATGTTCATGGATAGGCAAAATAAATGTTGTTAAAATGGCCCTACTACCAAAATTCAATGAAATCTCCATCAAAATACCAATGGCTTTTTTCATACAAGCTAGAAAAAAAAGTCCTAAAATTCATTTGGAAGAATAAAAGACCTGGAATAGTCAAGGCAATTCTAAGGCAAAAGAGCAATGCTGGAGGCATCATAGTACCTGACTTCAAGTAATACTACAGAGCTATAGTAACAAGAACTGTATGGTCCTGGTATAAAGAGATACATAGATCAATGGAGCAGAAGAGAAGACACAGAGACAAACTCACACAACTACAGTTATCTGATCCTTCACAAAAATGCCAAAAATGTTCACTGGAGAAAAGATAACCTTTTAAACCAATAGTGCTAGAAAACTTGTTATCCTATGTAGAAGAATAGAACTAGACCTTTCTTCCTCCTTCACAAAAATCAACTCAAAATGGATCAAAGACATAGGAATTAGACCAGAAGCTATGCAACTCCTCGAGGAAAATGTAGGGTCTAAACTCCAGGCACAGAGAAGGACTTTCTCAATGGGACCCCTAAAGCTAGGAAAGAATGGGAAGAGTACCTTAGTGGGATGGCATCAAATTAATAAGGCTTTTGAACAGCAAAGGAAACGATTGGGAAGGTGAAGAGAGAACACACAGAATGGGAGAAAATCTGTGTTAGCTACTCTTCTGCCAGAGGATTATATCTAGAATATATAATGAACTCAAAGACTTCACACCAAAAAAATCCAATAACCCAATTAATAAATGGGTAAATGGATTAAACAGACACTATTCAAAAGAAGAAACACAAATAGCCAATGAGTATATGAAAAAATATTCAGCATCTTTAGCAATTAGGGAAATGCAAATCAAAACTACACCGAGATTTCATCTCACATGAATCAGAATGTCAGTCATCAAGAATACAAACAATAAATGCTGGAGAGGATGTGGAGTAAAAGGAACACTTTTACACTGTTAATGGGATTGTAAATTAGTATGACCCCCATGGAAATCAATGTGGAGATTCCTCAAAACACTAGGAATGGAACCAATATATTACCCAAATATCCCATTCTTGGCACCTAAAGAATTAAAGTCATCATACTATAGGTTTCCAAAGCTCCTCATGTTTTCTGACACAATCCTCCAATTGTATCTCCCAGCTGAGATGCATACCCATTTATAGCAGTACAATTCACAACAGCCAAACTATGCAACCAGTCTGGGTATCCATGAACAGATGAATGAATAAAGAGAATGTGGCATATATACACAATGTTTTTTTTTTCTACCATAGAGACAGGAAAATGGATCAAACTAGAGACCATTACGTTAAGCAAAATAAGTCAAATTTAGAAAGTCAAGAGTTATATGTTTTCTTTCAGATGTGGAAGCTGGAGAGGAAAAAAGAAAAGAAAGATGGGGCATATCTCATGAAAATCAAAAGGAAATTAGTAATGAGACCCAAGGCATGGTAAGTGGGGAGGGAGGGAGGAAGTGGTTGGGAATGATGTGGGTCAAATTCCATTGTTATATGGTGTACATATATAAATATGTAACATTACATCCCATCATTATGTACAGCTACACTGCACCAATTAAAACAAAAATGTGGTTGCGGGAAGGAAGGCCATCACTAGATGTGTTCCTTGACCTTGAAATCAGAATGATGAGCCAAAATAAACCTCTTTTCTTTATAAGTATAAAACAGAAATAAAAACAAAAAACCAAAACTTAACACAGTCAAACAGTGTGTTCCATAGTTCTCTTAATGTATCATAGGAGGTTGGAAAGATCCTCAGTGGTTGAACATGATGCGGGGGCTTGGGTGGTGGTGGCAGTAGAAGTGATTGCAGGTGTTGGAATTGGCGTGGGGAGATGGCTTACAGTGTTTTAAAAGTAAAGGTGCAAATTTCACATATTACTGTGCCACCTCTTTCATTCCTTCAGGAGAATGGAATTCTGGCTAATTATTACCATTCATTGTGTTCACAGATGAAAACTCAGCTATTTGCCTTTAATATTCTATGTGCCAAGATTTAAATGATTTCTTTGTTTTTCAGTTTCCAAAATGAATAGAGATTTCTAAATGCTAAATTTGGGGTATAAAAACAATTGTTCAGAGATTACTTTTTTTTTTCCTCCCCAGATTAACTATGACATGCCTCTGTGTTTCTTGTCCCTACAGGTTGTGCTTCTCCTGTTTCTTGTCCCTACAGCTTGTTAAATCTGTAGCTTAGTACTCTCAGTTTTGGAAAATACTTGGCCAGTGTATCTGTAAATATTGTTCCTGCCCCGTTTTTTCCTCTTCTTCTTAGTTTCCGGACCCTTTTCATCCTGTCTCATGTTTCTTATGTTCTTTTATATAGTTCTATTCCTTTTCATTCAGGAGCTTTTCTTCCTCTTTTTTTCATTTCCTTCCTTCCTTCCTTCCCTCCTTCCTTCCTTCCTTCCTTCCTTCCTTCCTTCCTTCCTTCCTTCCTTCCTTCCTTCCTTCCTTCCTTCCTTCCCTGTGCAAGGTGTTGAATTTAGGCCTTGAGCTTGTGTTTGACCACTGAGCTATAATCCAAGTCCCCTTATTTTTCTTATAAGTGACAGGGTCTGGCCATGTTGCCCAGACTACCCAGGCTAGCCTGGAACTCAGTCATAGCGCCTGAACCTCTGGTTTAGCTGGGGCCCCCTTATCCATAGCTTAAATTCTTAGTTTTGATTTTTTTAAGAGACTGGTTCTTCTGTGATAATCTAACTTTTCATTATATTCTTGGACATATTAATCAGTGGTTTTAATCCAGTTTGGATTACCTGTGGTCTGCATCTATGTTCTTGTTTTGGGAATTTTAGGTTCTGTTTTTGGGCATACTTGTTATGTTTTTTTTTTTTAATTGAAAAAATAATTGAGAGTGGATTTGACTTTCTTCTAGCAAAGTCTGAGCAGAGCACATTAATTGAGCTGATTTCTTTTTAGTTTGTCCATATTCATGGGTTGTAACACTTCTGATATCTCAGAATCTGGGGTTTCCAGGGCTCCTTATGTTTTCTGACACAAAACTCCAATTGTATCTGCCAGCTGAGATATTTGCTCAGATATATTAGGGGCTTCAGGAAGATGCCTCTAGCAGTTTCTCTGCCTGGTTGTCCTGAGTGTTGTCCCATGAGTGTGCAGTCTGCACATGCCCATACCTGGAGAGGTGTCACGATCAGCAAAGGTGTGACTTATGCAGTCGAGCGGAAGAAATAAAGAATGTCCATGTGCTTCTGCCCTTTTCAATGCTATATTCACTCAAATCCTCAATACAATTTCACTCTAGAGGTTCTTAATAAAAAAAAAATGACAATCCTTAATGCTAGACACTGCAATAGACATAACCAATTCACAGCAAACAGTTCTAGATTAATTCTAAACACTGCAAACACTCTTAATCATGACAGGCTCATGAAAGAATTCCCTCTGCATGTTAAGCTCAAGTGCCAGAACTAAGTCCAGCAAATGCACACTCGCTCAGACAATGGTGATCAGGTCAGGAACTGAGGCAGATTTCCTGGGGTGGACCTGACAGCTGGCTGAGGAGAGGGTCATATAGAGATACTGCATTTCTCACCCGAGTCAAAATGTAGCTGTAGAATCCCCAAAAAACAAATGCTGAATGTTTTCTCTGATATAAGGAGGCTGACTCATAGTGGGGTAGGGAGGGGGAGCATGGGAGGAATAGATGAATTCTAGATAGGGAAGAGGGGTGGGAGGGGAAGGGAGGGGGCAGGAGATTAGCAAGGATGGTGGAATGTGATGGACATTATTATCCAAAGTACATGTATGAAGACACAAATTGGGTGTCAACATACTTTATATGCAGAGATATGAAAAATTGTGGTGTATATGTCTAAGAAGAATTGTTATGCATTCCGTTGTCATTTAATTATTTTTTTAAAAAATCAGTTAAAAAAAGTATTTGTCCAAGTACAACTAAAAGCCAAAATATTAAAAAAAAGAAAGAAACTAGAACCAAAGGGTGTGTCACAGTGAGAACAGTTTTTATTCCATAAACCAAAATATTAAAAAAAAAAAAAAAGAAACTAGAACCAAAGGGTGTGTCACAGTGAGAACAGTTTCTATTCCATTTGAGAGCAGTGAGGAAGATGCAGAGGACCGGGCAAATGATGAGAAGAGTTGGGATGTCAGTCCAGGTCCTCATCAGGCTCTCCAGCGTGAGTGCATCAGTGTCGGCTGGCTGATTGTCTACTCATTTGCTCCTTCATTTATAGTAAAATTTTGGGGCTTCTGACTACATTAGCTACTGGATTTCTCAGTGACGTCATCCGCCCTGAGGTTAAATCATCTGGTCTGGTGGTCCCCACCCTGATTTTTTGCACCCTTATTGGGATGAGGGCAACATGACAGAGACTTCACTCTGAGTTTGTCAAGGTGGGGAGAAGTGACTTGTTTGTGTCAGGGCTGTGCCTGATGACCCTTTTGGAGGGCTCTGTAGGTGTTCCTGGTGAGGCTATAGGTTTCAAAGTGTAGTTTTAAAATGGAGTTGCTTAGGCTAAGGCCTAAGGCCATCCTTACAAGAGGGAAGGTTATGGGGTGCTGGGACTGCCCAGTGCTGTTCTCTCCTTGCTAGGACTTTGGTTTCTCAAGTCCTGGTTGGTTTGTTTGCTCTCATTAGAAAACTCTTCACATAGCCACTTCTTATATTTTTATGTTTATTCCCAGGAGGATGATTAGTTTGGAGCAGCTAGTTCACCATAGGCAGAGAGAAAGTTCTTCATGGATGCTTTTGGCTATTAAAAAAGAAAGCTAGGTTTATTGCAGTTAGCATTTCAAACCTAGTTTGCAAGCTCAGTTCAACATAATGTAAATCTTTTTCAGGAACCCTTTATAAGTTGTTTAATGAAACATTTTAAGCTTCATTTGTAAACTTAGTATTCAGTTTTTGCTTTAAAATCTTGAGTTGCTTAAGTACTAGTAGAATTTGCTTTAATTATTTTCATTCTTATGGCTTCTTAGAATTTAAATATGTTTGCCAACTAAGGAAATGATTAAGTCATTGCAAACAATTTTGGGGTCTACCTTCTGTGTTAGTCAGCTTTCCATTGCTGTGATAAAAGGCTGAGAAAATCAACTTAAAGAAGGAAAGGTTTATTTTGGCTCATGGCCAGCTGGCTCCATTGCTTTTAGGCCTGTTGTAGGGTAGAAACATCATGGTAGAAGGGAATGGAGGAGAAAAATCTGTTCACCCCAAGGTAAACCAGAAGCAGAGAGAAAGTAAGGGAGAGACCAGTGACAAGATATATCCTCCAAAGCACAGCCTTAGTTCATGGCCTTTGGGGACGTTTACTACCCAAATCATAATAGCTTCTTAGCTAATTATGCATAGCAACCAGAGATGTAAAGTCTGGGACTTTAATTAAGAGAAGTTTTTCCTGTCCCTGACTGGTTGGCTAAACCCCTTTTGGTCAAAACAGTATAATAATCTCTAAAAATTAAAGGAAAAAAGTGGGGGGGGATATGCAAACGATCATGTCTCTGACCTTTGGTTGCATTATGGTATGCATTTCCACCTTTACCTGTGTTTTTCCTGCTTTATAAGTATTGAGTATTTTTCATACTACTAACCCTTTACTTATTAGGAATTTATTCAACATTGAATTGGAGTGCAGCTGTACGAAATGTGTCTTCCCTCATTGTAGGTTCTAAGGTTGTTCTTATCACAGTGTCATGGGCCATTCATTGAAAAGGAATCTACTCACTGGAGCACAGTTTAAAACAGCTTGTTTTGATTGTTAACTTAATTTTTTAATTGTTTTGTTATCTAATATTTACCATCTCATTTATGTGGACAGTCAACTTACCACTGCATTTTTCTCTACAGAAAATCAGAAACTTTCCAGATGACTTCCAGTAATGACCAGATTTGGATCTCAATGTTACAAAGGAAACCCAGTGACCTGCCTTGGATGACCTCCAGTGACATGCAGACGTTTTCTGAAGGGCCTGTGTTGAGTTTTCATAACATCTGCTATCGAGTAAAAGTGAAGAGTGGCTTTCTCCTTGGTTGGAAAACAGTTGAGAAAGAAATACTATCCAATATCAAGTATGTGCTTGAACTTTTTAAAAGACCATTTTATTGGCCTACAATGAACTTCACAGGTTTGCCTATTACCAGTAAGCTACTGTGAGCCTTTGCATTCAAGTCTTTGTACATGTTGATACATGCCCTTTTGGCTAAACTAGGACTGAAATGATTAAATCACTTATTAAGTATATGTTTAACTTTGAAAGGAACTGATGAAATTTGTAAAAATGATTGTATCATGTTTTGAGAGACTGAGCAGTTTTTGTGTCATTTAGTTTTTTAAGTGTGGAGAGAAGGACCATGTCTATAGAATCCACTATCAGGTTTCTCTGTGAGTTTGCAAATGTTAGTCTTTGTGTGTTTTTCTTTTCTAGAGAATAGAGCTTATATTTTTCCCCTGTGGGCACAGGAAGTGAATTTGGGTTAGCCCAGACAGCATGCTCTATGTGTCGTGTTTTTTTTTTTTTTCTTTCTTTCTTTCTTTGGGTAAATTATTACTGATAGAACAAGCAACTTTTTTTCTGACTCTCCAAGGAAAGGAGTTGGGGAAGTAGTTATAAAAGGGTTCTTTGACCCAGTGTGGTTGTGGATCCATATAAAGTCAGATGTGTTTTCAATCTTGGTGTGTTATATGCTATATCACTGCAGTCTTTCATGTTAGTTGCCTCCAACTTCCTTCAGAGGACAAGGAAATGACAAGTTGGGTACATATGTTTGTACGTGGGTGAAAGAGAAATGATCAAGATCTGAATTGACTGGGCTGAGGCCAAGAGCTCCGTGCAGAACTGGAACTCTCCATGCTGCACACCTGCTGTCGTGCCTTCTCATCTCTTTTCGTGTATTGGTTTGAAATCCTGACCAGAATAAGGAGAAGAATGGTGGATGCAAAGCTATCATCTTTTACTGCATGACTCACTAGAATTGTCTGAGAAGTTGACACACATTTTGTGAAACATAATCAAGTACATATTGGTCCCTTCAGATTTTGCGATAAAAGAGGTAGAATTAGAATATGTGCAGGTTTGAATAGAGGTAAAGTGCATCCTGTGCGAGGGTGCATTAACTTTGCATATCTTCTCAAGCTAGTGGACTAGTAACTCACTACACTAAATGTCTCTTCTGCTCAAGGCTTCTCAATGTGTGTATTTATGGCTGAATAGTGTGTGTCTCATTAAAGGAGGGGGTCACTGTCTTATGTTTTCCTAGGATCATAAAAGTGCAATTGAATCTTGTGATTCTTTGAATTTTTATAATTAAAAGAACAGTAAGGATTGACATTCATGTTTACTTATATTTATGATTTAGTTATCCCTGAGACTTTGGGATGGGAGAAGGGTTGCTCTCATTATCTTTTTTTTTTATTAATATTTGATAGCATCATCTGAACTCAAAATGGTAACTTTATTTCCCAAACTGAAGAATCTTTTGTAAGAAGAAAATAAACAAAATTTTGTTCATGAGAATTCCAAAGATTTTCTTTTTTTATGAAAATCCTTTATCTTATGTGCAGTTTGTTTCCATAATGAGCACTTGAACTTTCCCTCACCAGTGCTGAAAATCTATGGGAAAAAATATTAATTTCAGCAGATGTTGATATTCTGTATTCATGAATGAGATTCATTATATTCTTTGGGAAACTTAAAAATTAATAATTAAAAATGGAAATAATTTTGAACATGAACCTGCATGCACATAACCCTTTTACCAGAGTCCTTGACTGTCCACACTGCACTGTGTTTGTATCCATTGTCATAACTGGTTTTGGGGAATCATTTGAGAGCAGGCTGCCCACATGATGCTCCTTTATCCCTAGCTCCTTCAGCATTACTTTCCAAAAAGTTGGTCTCTCATTTGTGTATCACTTAGTCTGGCAGCAGCCGAGAGGGAACATGTAGCTTTAGAAAGAAGGTAGATGAGATCCTGAAGGCTGCCTGTCCCTGTGCTACTCATATATGTGACTGACCACCTTATCATGCCTCTTCGGACTCATCCAGCTTGCTATTTTCTAGCTGTAACCCATTCCAGGTGATGTTAAAATTGATCACCTTGTTGTGTTTCTGTCTGCCAAACTTCACCATAATGCTACCATTTTCCTCTGTGTGCCTGATTATTATGAGGGGAGATGCTTTGACATTATTCAGCATCTTTTTCCTCATTAAACGTATAAGCATCAGCTCCATTGATAACTCCTGTTTGATCAGCAGCCCCTGTGATAGAGGCCAAAGGGTGATTTTCCATTTTATCTTCTAATAGTTTGCATTCTAGGAAATAGCTTTATTCATGGTCTCTTCTTTCATTTCCTGTATTGACTCATGGATTTCTATTTCATTCAATAGTATTCAGTAGTTATTGTTATACATGTTGATACTTCGAGTATCCCTTATTTGGTCAGTGGAACACCTTTCACAATGAGTTCTTTTTGTCCCTCATTCTTTTAACTCATTTCCTAATTCTTGAGGACTTCCTTGGCACAGTTTAGAAGTTTCAGATTCTAATGGGCATGTTGATGCTGGTCTGTAATCCCAGTCACTTAGGAGACAGAGGCAGGAGGATCACAAGTTTGGGGCCAGCTTGGCAACTTAGCTGTCTAAAAAGGGTTGGGGATGTAGTTCTGTGGTAGCATGCTTGTCTAGCATGCACAAGGCCCTGGGTTCAATTCTCAGTACCCCATTTACTTCAAATAAAGAAGTTTCTGACTCACTGTGTGGTTATCCTGCTAATACTGGAGTCAGCTGATGTTTATTCTTGTGGAGGATGTTTATTGCAAACAACATCTGGGTGTTTAGAGTGTTCACTGCTATTACACATCATTGTCTCCAGGCCTTCTCAATGAACATGCCTAGGGAATACATGTATGTACATACACACATGCATGTGCATGCTCATGCATCTCTATTTTTGTTCAAGAGAAACAACAACAACAACTGCCTCTGTGTGCAGATGCATATGGATCTCATAGGAGGAGTGAGAGGAGCAGTGGGTAGCAGGCAGCTGTTCCTACAGCACCCTGAAAGTTGTCCATATCTACTTTTATAGCTTTCTATGTAGATTAAGGCTCATGACTTCTCATGAATGCAGCAATGACAATTCAATACTTTGGATTCTTTCTATATTTCCATATTTGTCAAATAACAGCCAGCTTTTTACTTCTCAAAAAAGTAAAAAGCTGGCTGTTATTATTTTTGTTATTCTTACTGATTTGCTAAGTCATTTTTAAAAATTCCCTAATATAAGCACCTTCCCAGCCTCTGACTTGCTTTTCTTTTCTTCTCAACCTCTTTGCAGCCTGTGTTCCTGGGTGCTGGTGGTTGCTCTCCGCCACCCAGATCTTTCATTATCTTCCTACTAAGAAAGGAAGGGGAAGGGCAAGTCTAATAGGATGACTGATACATTATGTGAACATAAATTCACAAGTGGGAATGTAACTGTTTCCTTTCCAGTCAGTACATACCTATTTTTGGTAAGCTATTTCTTACTTCTTTTTTAATTCATTGAATTTTTATTTTTATTTTTTTAAATTTTTATCGTACTGGGGATTGAACTCAGGGCCTTGCAGATGCTGGCAAATGCTCTACCACTGAGCTACATTCCCCAGCCTTTTTTTGATTTGCTTTTGATACAGGTACTCTGTATGTTGCCTGTGCTGGCCTCAAACTGTGATCCTCCTGCTTCAGCCTCCCAAAGAACTAGGATTATAGGTGTACACTATCAAAGCTGGCTTGAATTTATTTTTTAACTCATACATAAAAATGTAAAACTTGCACAACTTAATCAGGTTATTTCCTACTTCTTGAGTTGTATGTGTTTTTCCTAAATATATGTAAGAAGTTTTTGGTGTCTTCAGAGTAATTTCCATTTATAAAAATGAAGTCATTCATTTATTCAACAAATGTGGGTAAATGGCTACTGACATAGACAACTCCTCTGTTCTCATAAGTATTATAGACTTATTAATAGATTTGGGCAATAAGAAATAGCTTTTTGAGGGATGATAGATGGGTGAGGAAACCAGAAAATTTTGGAACATGTAGCAGAACAGGGGTCAGCAAACCTTTTCTACAAAGGGATAAATTGTAATTATTCTCTCTCTCTCTCTTTCCCTCTTGTTACTGGGGACTGAATCTTGGGCCACTCTACCACTGAGCTACATCCCTAACTCTTTATTACTTTATATTTTGAGGCCAGGTCTCACTAAATTGCTTGAATTTCACTAAGTTGCTGAGGTTGGCCTTGAACTTGCCATCATCCTGCCTCAGCCTCCCGAGTTGCCGGGACTGCAGGTGTGCGTGGCAATTTTATTTTCAACTTTCTCGGTCATATTTCAGTAGCAGACACTAGGTAGCTGGTAACAGAAAAGGTGCATCGAGCACTATAGATAGATATACCTTACAGTTTACCCAGTCACTGGTATGTTTTTTCCCTTGGGAAGTGAAAAGACACAGAACAATAAGTGATGTCTTGTGTTCTGGCTTGTTCAAGCTTCGTGGGGTTCTCACTGTCTTTGATGTTTTAGGGAGAGGTATCTCAGTTAATGAGCAAAGCAAAAAGTACATTTCACTTCAGCACCCACTGGCCACAGTGCCTTTGTGACAGTTCAAGTGGTGAGTGCTGAGGTTCTTTTGGATATAAGCACTGTGGGGTAACTACATTGGGAAGTTCATCACTGATGACAGTTGAGAAATCATAGCATTGACCTCTGTGGGAATCATTACCTGAGAATGCAGCTGTCAACTTGGAACTCTCATTATTACTGTTGTTCTCTGTTAAATACATCTTGACCTACTTACATATTCTCAGTGGGCTAAGCCAGGCTCTATTTTATCATACCTGTGTGACCCATGGTGGCTCTGCTGTATTTTTACCCCTTCCTGCTGTATCTGATTATATACTACCCCGACTCATCCATTTTGTTTGAAACATACTGTTCTGGGACTGGACATGTTTAAAGATATCCCCTACTGGAGCAATGGCTCCAAATTCTAAATTGAGCATTTTCCAGTTGTTCATGCTGTGTGTTTCCTTTTCTAATCCATAAAACATTTTTAAAAAGGTTTTTTTGTTGTCAATGGACCTTTATTTTATTTATTTATATATGGTGCTGAGAATCAAACCCAGTGCCTCACACGTGCTAGGCAAGTGCTCTACCATTGAGCCACCACCACAGCCCCAGTAAAACATTTTTCTCGAGTTTGAATTGCTTGTCATGCTTTCTTATCTTCTGAAGTGCTTCATGCTAGCCTTTGGGTTTCTATCTAAGATACATTGTTTTTTGGTCTGGTTAGATTTTAGTAATGAGACCACTGCTGTTGATATTCTATGAATTAGTCATTAATTTACTGTGTAGAACTTGACTATATTGCAGTTGAGGCTATTGAAGAATATTGGTGTTCAAACATTATTCTTAGAAGCTGTTATGTACTTTACAGAGTGTTAAGAGGAGTAAGTGGGGGGCTGGGGTTGTGGCTCAGTGGTAGAGCGCTTGCCTTGTACATGTGAGGCACTGGGTTTGATCCTCAGAACCACACAAAAAAATAAATAAACAAAATACAGTTATTAAAAAAAAATGAAAACCATGTCTTCATTAAAAAAAAAAGAGGAGTAAGTGGAACCGTGAGGCTTCAAGAGAATCTATTAGTTATTTCAAGAAACTTTTGTTGTTATTGTTGCTGGGGGTGCAACCCAGGGCTCCTGTGTGCTAAGCATTGGGTCTTGTGTTGAGCTGTATCCTCAGGCTAATTTGAAGAAACTTTGATCATCAAATGTGCCACTTTCCAAAAGGAATAAGTGGTTTAGAAAACAAATAAAAGGAGATGAGAGGTGCCTGAGTCAGCTTTCTTATAGCTCTTGACTAGTGATTGACACCTTTTGTCTACTAGACTTTTATTAATCGATAGTTTTTTTTTTCCACTTTGACTTAGTTCTTGTTTTCTGTCTGCAATTTCATCAACCTTCCTTGAGTGTATTCGATGCAGACCTCAACTGAACTTTGTTTAAAGTGTAACAATATATTGATATATGTTTTTGTGTTTCCAGTGGGATCATGAAACCTGGCCTCAATGCCATCATGGGACCCAGAGATGGAGGCAAATCCTCGTGAGTGTATAAGCAAGTCTTTTCTGCACTATTTCAGTGTGCTTTAAAAATCAGTTTATGGAGCAGATGTCGATTGAGACTTTGCTGTGCATGTCCAGTCTAAGTGCTGGGGATTATATGTGGTCAGGCTACCTTGTGGCTTTATTCCAAGTAACAGGAAGTGTTCTTGGGTCAACTTTATAAACACAGTATGATAATGTAATTTATATTCTATTGTTGGTCATATTATGAGCTAATGAGGAAGAAAAGAAAGGGGATGATATGAAAGCAGGGAGATGGAGCTGAAGTGTATTGCCTGGGTTGGATTCTCCAAGATCTGTCAGTCACAAGGGTCATTTGGAAGATATGTGCTGGATAAGCCAAGTTTGCCTTGATTTTATATTTTTGGGTTTTCTTGCAACTTATAATGAAAGATAAGGTGAAAATTTAAATATATTCATATGTGTTGTATATATATATATATATATATGTGTGTGTGTGTGTGCGCACGCGCGCACATATATGTATATGCAAAATTTTAGTTGAACCATAGACTTTGTGACTAGTTCATTGTCCAACTTGCAGAAAATTTTAATTCAGAATAGCTGAGAGGTATGGCCTGTGTACAGGGAGAAAAAGACCCATAAAATGTCCTTTTATAGGTTGTTGGATGTCTTAGCCGCAAGGAAGGATCCACATGGATTATCTGGAGAAGTTTTGATAAATGGAGCACCTCAACCAGCCAGTTTCCCATGTCATTCAGGTTATGTAGCACAAGTAAGTGGGAAATTCAGATTTCCCCTATTTCTGTATGGGCAAGAGTCTTGGCTTGTAGTTTACCATGTTTCCAATTGAATATAGGACATGATCCAGGAACTACCTTTCTTTACACCAGCTTTTCTAATCTCCCATAAGATTGAGGGTGGAATTAAATGAAAAGACTGAGAGGACCTGGAATATGACCCCTGTAGGGTGTTGGTGTTGATTCTACCTGTGGTATCATTTCCAAAATTGTCTACTCTTCTCCTTTTTTGCCCTTCCTGCAACTTTCTCCTTCCCCACAGAAGATGCATTTGTTAAATTCTCATTCTCAACAATCTGGAGGTATCTGGGTATAGTGAGCATACCTACTCTTGCTCCATCTGAGTGTGCAGATAGGGATGAAATGCCTCCTTTAGGCTCTGCAGTTGTCTGTAGGTGGAAGCTCTGCAATTTGTGGAGCTGAAAGTTTACCATCAGCTGTAACTTTACCTTGGCTTTGTTATTTTCATGGACTAAGTTACTTTTGCTGGAGGAATAGTCTTAGAAAAAACTCAGTATGTCTCATTAAAATACTGTTTGCCTTCAGGATGGTGTTGGGATGGGCACCCTGACAGTGAGAGAAAATTTACAGTTTGCAGCGGCTCTTCGGCTTCCAACAACTATCTCAAATCACGAAAAAAATGAGAGGATCAACAAACTCATTCAAGATTTAGGTCTGAGTGAAGTGACCAATTTTAAGGTAAAGTGACAAAGCCTGATAGAATCAGCCAGCAAAGAGGACCTCCCTATGTGGGCAATGTGACCTTAGGCAGAAGTTTCCTAAGGTGTGTGAGGTCAAAAGTGGCTGCTTTCCATATTGATGAGAAAAGTCAAGTTACATAATATGAAGGTGGAATTGAAGCTGGAGAAGCAATCTTAATGATGGTGGAATCCCAGGAATGCGCCATGCTCCCCACACGGCTTTTTCCGTGTGGTCTTCTCACCCTTGTTGTTAAGTCAGGGCTCTTTGACATCTTTCCTCTAACTTTTCTTCTTCCTTTTTTTTTTTTTTAAATTATCCATTTAGTAGTATTCTTCTCCCTCTTCCTCTGGGGTGACTTTGTTCTTATGCTTTTTTTAATGGTGTATTTATGGAATTGGTAAGTGTTAGGAATCCAAGGATTCTAGTTCTGTGGAGTTCATTTTTGGGGTAATTTGGCTTTGAAAATTGTATTTGGTCACATTAGGATTTAGTTATAATTTGTGTAGTGACAAAGTTATTTTTCTATAGCCTTTTTTTTCTTTGACACCCCCTTTCCTTAGAGACAATGAAGAATTGAGGGGCTGTACTCTCTGCTGCTTCCCCTGGTACCTGTTGACAGTATTTTATGTGAAGTGTACTTTGTTTGGAAGAAGAATCCTGGGATGCAACCATTTAGCACTTATTTTTTTTTTATGACTCATTGAGTTTTCTTTTCTTTGGCCCTTTATTTATTTGATTTTGCCTTCCCAGTAAGGTAGTCTTTTGCTGTGTTCTTTAACTTTAAGCAGGCACTGCTCAAAGTCACTTACTTGGATTTTTAAAGGAAAATATGTGAAGGCAGTTATTGACTTTTTATAGTTTATGTAATTTAATTGAAATAATTTTAAATTGTTATGAATTTTTTTAAAATAACAGAAATGTAGAGAAAATAGTCAATATGATAATGATATGATTGTCAGATCATATGGTAGTATAATTACTCATACTATTCACCTTGCTTTATCAGTTATAAATATCACCTGCCATAATTACTTCAACAATTTTATTCTGAATATTTTAAAGAAAGTTATACAGTGTTTCTTCCATGAATACTTATTTTACATCTATAAAATGACATTTCCTTACTTTACCACGATACCATTACTAATTAACAAAATGGACTGTATGTTCATATCATCCATCACCTGTGTCAAGCCCATATTCATTCACATTCTCCACATTGTCTACAAATATCTTTCATAGTTCTGTTAACAGGACCCAGTCATGGCCTTGGGTAGCATTTGATTATTATCCCTTTGGAGACTCTGAATTTTAGAATTGTTTTCTTCTTCCTATCTCCCCAAAACCTTCCTATTCCCCTCGACACACATAATTATATTGACTGGTTGAAAAGACTGAGCCAGTGGCCCTATGGAATATCCCACCTTCTAGATTTGTCTAAAAGAATAAATAAGGTATTGTTCAATGAGTTGGGGTGGACACTGTCAATTAGGAAAGACTTGCAATGATTGATGTGCTGATGTGCTGTGGTAGAAAGCACACTTCCTTGATTGCAAGTCTATTCTTTATAAGTTCACTTGGAGGCTTTTGGTGGTCTCCAAAAGTCTGCAGTGTTTGGGATGTTGTTAGAAGACTAATAAGTCACTAGAGAGACTTTCTATGTTCCTCTCCTATCTTTATTTCTTGTTTTATTGTGTGACTCCACTATATGGGACACATTGGTTAGTGTTTCAACTTATTTATGCTAAACTTAAATATTTGACTTGATAATAAAAATATGTATGTTTCTTACCATATGCTGGGGACTTAGCTGTTAAAAGCACAGCCTTCATATCTGTTGCAGTCATCTAGAAGCTATGCTCTGAGCCTCATTTTACTCATTTGGTAAAAGATAAACCCCCTTATTTCAGATGTCTATTTATTTGCTGTTCAGAAGAATGAAGACAACAAAATAAAATGTCTCTAATAGGACTGGCACAGGTTAATCTACCAAATAATAGTGAATATTGTTGTTTCTGTAGATAACAACCATAACTTTGTGTTTTAGGCTGGAACCCAGTTTGTATCTAGAGGAGAAAGAAAAAGGACCAGCATAGCAATGGAGCTGATCACGGATCCTCCCATCTTGTTCCTGGATGAGCCCACAGCTGGTTTAGACTCGAGCACAGCAAGTGCTGTCCTTTTGCTCCTGAAAAGGTAAATACTATGGGAATATTGTTCTTTCATTTATTTTATATTTGATAATTTCTGTGTACCACATATTCCTAGAGCAGGGTATTTGGAAGTGAACAGCAGAATTTCTTCCTTCCTTGTTAGAGGGAAATACTCAATGAACAAAGTAATGTTATCAAGAATAATAAAGCAATAGAAGAGGGAGGGACGGCAGTGGTGGGGTGGGGAGCCTTTTTAAAGGGCAGGGAACACCACAGTATGTGACGCATGAGCTGGGAGTTAGTGAGTGAGACCTGCTGCGACTGCAGAGGAGAGCTGTAGCTGGAAGGAGCAGCCAGTGGCCCTGAGGCAGAGCATGTCTAATGAATGTGGAGCACTAGAGATTTCAGAGGGACACAACGGGAGTGGAGGCTGGCTGAGGTACTGTCATAACAGTATCACGTGCTGGGGACTTAAGAGAAATTCGTTTTTTCAGTTTTGGGGGCTGGCAGTTGAGATCAAGCTGTCCACAGGGTTGTCTGCTCAGAGGCCTTTCTCATTGGCTTGCAGATGGCCATCTTCTCCCTCTGTGTCTGTGAACTTATCTCTAAAATTGTCCCAGTCAGATGAGGATCCCCTTAATGACCTCATGTAAGATTAGTGACCTCTTGGATGACGGTGTCTCCACATGTAGCCACATTCTGAGGTACTAGAGGGTTAGGACGTCAACATATGAATTTTGGGGAGACCACAGCTCAACTCACCCCAGTTAGAATCCATGAGAGTTGGAGTTGGGCTGGTGGCAGGTTGCATAGGTCTCCTGGGCCATTGTAAGAAGCGTGGCTTTTCCTGTCCTTAGAGGAGATGGCAAGCTTTGTGAGAGTTTTAGAGAAGAGCAGTGGCTGCTGTGGAGAACATTTGGCATTTGGAGAATGCTTGGGCAAGGGTGAGTGTGAGGACACTAGGAAGGAGCTGCTAAAGCAGGACAGCTTTGACTAGGAAGCTGACGATGGGAAGAGTCTGGTTTCTGGATCTGTTCTGAAAATGGAACCAACAGGATCCGCTCAGAAAGCGGGCGTGGAGTGTGAGGATTGAGACAATAACTCCTAAGAGTTGGGGCCTGAACAAATGGAAGAAATTAAAGCGATGCTTTTACTTTATCAAGGAAGAGAACAATGGAATTGAACAGTGTTTCATGCCAATATCCAGTTTCTCCAACGTCTCCCCACGCACCACGACTCCTGTTCTTGTGGTAGCAGCCAAACATGCCGTCGTTGACATTCTCTGGAAGGAAGAGGTTTCTCTCCTTTCCCATTTTGTGAAATGGGTAAAACCTGATGTTTTACACTATTTTAATGTTGAAACTAACCCAAATTTGAACAGTGGAAGTCTCTTCGATGTGGCTTATGTGTTTTTATAATGTCTCCCTAATCATTCTTCAAGCATTTCTATTCTTCTCTTCTTCTTTCTTCTTTCCACCCCCCACCACCTCTACCTTCTCATTCTCCTCTTCCTCCTCCTCCCCCCCTTCTCCTCTTGCTCCTTCTTCTTTTTCTTTTTTTTTCTCTTCCTCTTTTTCTTCTCCCCCTTCTTCCTCTTCTTCCTTCTTCTTTTAATGGGGATTGAACCTAGAGGTATTTTATTACTGAGCCACATCCCCAGTGCTTTTGATTTTTTTGTGTTGAGACAGTCTTGCTAAAATGCTTAGGATCTCACTAAATTGCTGAGGCCGTCCTTGAACTTAAAATCCTTCTGCCTCAGCTTCCTGAGTTGCTGGGGTTATAGTCATGGACCACCATGCCCAGCTAAGCATTTCTATTCTTTGTGGTCATTGTAATGTTTCTATCTTGTCTTGTACTTTTCTTGTGTCTGCCATTTCTGCTCTCTTTTTGTGTATTCGAAAACCAAGGTCTATTTTTAGAAACCAACGTCTGTTTCTTTACTGTTACTGCTACTGGCATTGCCAACAGACCCTTGTAGGCAAACATCGGAAAACACATGTATGAGTATGTATGTTTATATTTGTATACTATGTAGAAAAAGTACTTCTATATTTTACTTAGAAATATGTGGAATATAAATATTTTATGTGCATGTGCCTATATGTGTATACACACATGCACATCTATATTTGAAAAGAAAGAACTCTGTAAAAATACATCTGTCACTGTTGCTGTTTCTGTGTGTACGTATTAAAAATTTCACAATAATAGTTGAATTCCAGTCTAAAATCTCTTTGTCATTTTGAGTCTTTGCCATCTTCATATTTATAAATGATATCAGACAGGAGAGAGTGACTCCCATTTTCTCAATATATTCCTTTATTTACTCAAACAAGTAATTTAATTTTCTAATGCAACCAGACCTCCAATTGCTCTGCTGTTTACTTTGTCCTCCACCCACTTTGTAAACATTTCTGCCTCATTTTCTTTTCGTGATAATTGTATACTTTAGAATTAAAGGGAAACAAAAAGATCAAGCTTTGGAATACATTGACTGAAATACAAGTATCTCACGTCTGAAATCTTGAAAAATTACTCTGACTACTTAACTGAGGTAGATTTATGTTGGCAGTGCTTCAAGGGAACCTCCATCCATCAAGAAATTACCTTCTAGTTTGGTTTACAGGTTCTCCAACCTCAGGTCATGCTATGAATAATACCAGTGCCTTTTCCCCCTGGATTAAAAGCCCTTAGACTTGTTTCACACCCCCAAAGTTCTCCACTCGAGAGATGGTCTGTAGTCAATTTGAAGGCTAGAGACAATTATCAGATAGATTGGTTGACAAAAGGGGCAAGGCGCTGCCCTGCTAATGATACCAACCTTGTCCCTTCTCCAAGGTCTAATTATTAACAGACAGCCCTGAGTACTAGTTGTCATCACTGCCATGCCATACATTTAATACTATTAAGTATTATAATTGTCATACTGGCTATAGACATGATTTTCATCAAAGAGGAAAAAAAATACATCTTGTGTATTTTATCACACTAGACAATTTTTCACAGTCTAAGAGCTATTTATAATAATTACTGAAATGTATCAAATCAAATAAAACTTAAAGGATTTATTTTCTAAAAGAAAAAAAAAGTCCTATAAGCAGATTATTTATTATCATTAAGAGTTATATCCACTGGTCCTAAGAATATCATGATTCATCCAGTCATGAGGATAAAAGCTGACAGTCATATCCAAGGTAGCAGTTGGCCAACTCCTTCAATCCAAACACCAGTACCCTCTGGGTCCAGGGTTCTGCTAAGATAAATCAAACTCAAAATAGGGGAGTCTGACCAGTAATGAAATATTTGTTCACCTGTCTCAGGGTCCCAAATACTATAGGAATCTGAAGTATTTGTACTAAATGTCTTTTGATCTGTTGGGAGAGGAAAAAACAGAGAAGTGACCATTTATAGAAGCTTGACAACAGTATTTCTAGAGTATGTTAAGGACAACTATTACCTTGTTAAATTGGAAACAAATATTTATTCTTAAACCTCTGGTGGATCCGTCAACTACTTATTTCCTTCTAGCGTTTAGAGCCCTTCATTCCAAGACCTGAAGTGGCCTCTGCAGTCCCCTTTTGGCCCACTTTTTAAGCTTCCAGACACACCACTTTCATGGCTTCTCCTCTCTATCAATACCTTCCTCTTCATCTGTGGCCCATGCCCCTGTAAACAAGTTTCTATGCTAGAAGAGGAGAAACAGAAGAGTGGGAATATGTGTATGGTTTAAACTTTTTCAGATTTCAGTTGCACATGCAAGTGGAGATGCCAAGTCATGGTATGCAGTTCAGGTCCCTTTATGGAACATACCCATGATGTTTTTATTACCTATAATTCTGTTAGTAGTATTTGTTAGAGAATGATGAATTTATACCCAATACTGTAATTATTTTCTTTTATGAGGGGCGGAGACAGAACTCAGGGACTTGGAAACACTGGGCAAGCACTTGACCCCCGAGCCACACCCCAGCCGTTTGACTGTTTTCTTGTTTTGCACTGTGTAGTGCACCGCGAACTTGCTCCTGCAAATCTACCTAGTCCTTCTCGAGCACCACTCTGTACTCAGGCTGCTTAAATATGCAGGTTCTGTTTCTCTAGAAATGCGATAAAGCCCCAGTTACAGGAGATTCTAAGAGGAGGTACCCATACTGATGCTGCTGGTCCTCAGACCACACATTGGGTGTCAGGGCTCTTAATCCCACTTCCTGCTCTGAGTCCTTTACCAGCTCCCTCTTGCCTAGGAGCAAAGTTCTCGTTTCTGAGTGAGGGATCAGCCTCGGCCTGTTCTGTTCTTTCTGTACTTCCTTTTTTAACTTCTTCATCCAACACCCTCACATTCACACACACACACACACACACACACACACACACACACACACAAAGCTTAGTCCTGAACACTGAGCTTCTTACTGTATTTTCCCAATGAGATCTTTTTATTTCATACTTAGTTCAGCTTGTTCTCACACGAGTGCTTTTCTCTTCTTAGCTCACCACTCCTGTTGGACCTTTTGATATCTACTTAAATCACTTAAATTAACTAAGGAAACTTAGTTAATTCTATTCCACATTATATTCAGATTATTGGTCTTATGTCCTGATTCTCTTTGAGGCAGAACACACTCTGCTAGTGTATACTAGGTAGTTTTTAAATGCAATTAAAATTAATTAAAGGGATTTTTCTCGTGAAATATTTTACTAAAAAATTTGAACATGGTTTTGGCCTTTGTTTTCTCTTCCCATTAGTAATAACTCTCATGAAAAAGTAGTTAAGAACTATTTCTCCCATTGGATTGAACCAGAGATCAAATATAAGCCTTAGTAACTGTGACCTCTTGGACAGTTGCTTGATTTTTAAGCCTTATTTATTAAAAAAAAATTAAAAGTAAAAATTGAAATAAGATTATCTCTAAAGCATTTCATATAAATATAAACATAGTAAGAATTTAGGAATATTACTTATATTATCAGAGCAGAAAAATGAAAACCAATCCTAAAGATATAGAAGACTTAAGCCATCAGTGAGAATTGGGTATACAACCATAGTTTGAATATTTAGTCCATAATTAATTCTCAAATATGGATGCTTTTTAAAAATATGAGCTCCCTGTACCTATTCTCAGAGATTCCACTTCAGTGTATGGGAAAACTTTCTAGGAATCTGCGTTGTCACTGAACATTCTAGTGGATTCACTAGAATGTTGATGCACCATTCTTTAAGAAGCCTTAGTGTGCCCGCACCGGTAATCCCAGTGGCTCAGGAGGCTGAAGCAGGAGGATCGAGGGTTCATTGCCAGCCTCAGCCTCAGTGAGACCCTGTACAAAAAAAAAAAAAATACAAAATAGGGCTGGGGATGTGGTTCAGTGGCTCAGTGCCCCTTAGTTCAATCCCTGGTACCTAAAGAAAAAAACAAAACAAAAAACAACAACCTTAGTGTTCTCAATAAATGCATTGAATTTATGTTCCCTAAGTATCAAGTAGAAAATAGGAGATGAAAGGGGGAAGTTCATAAATGAAAATTAAGAAAAACTGGGTGACAGCAGAAATAAAATATTTTACTAAGAAGTGCAAGAATCAGATATTTAATGGCTAATAGTTTTCCTTTTTTAACTTAGCATTTCTGAGCGAGGAAGAACAATCATCTTCACCATTCATCAGCCTTGCTACTCCATCTTCAAGCTGTTTGACAGCCTCACCTTATTGGCCTCAGGAAAACTCATGTACCACGGTCCTGCCCAGAAGGCTCTGGAGTACTTCGAATCAGCAGGTGTGGTTGAACTTTTCATGCACTCGATCCTTCCTTCACAGACTCTTGTGGAGAGCGGAGGGGTCAACAGGAGTGTTACTTGATCTCTGTACAGATGGACCTCAGATTCCATCACTGCAAAGCATCTTCAGTTTGGTGCTAAATTTTGCTTCATTGTGCAGCACTTGCTTGTTCTGTAAGTGTTTTTGTTTTCATATTAGAGTGTGTGTGTGAGTGTGTTTCTACTAGGCCTTTGTTATGCTTCAAAATGATGATGTTCTTTCCCTGAAAGTTCTGTGCTTAACTGGTTGGACCGACAGCCAGGTATTCCATCAATGGAATATTTATGGAAAGGCCCAACATTATCTACTTCTTGACCATATAGCAGATTGTGTTTTTTTTCAGCTGTCCCTCTGACATGTGATTATATTCTGCCTTCATGAGGCTCAGGGACATGGTACTTTATTTCTAGTAAGATGAGATTGCAGATTTAGGTCCTGAATGATTTGAGTGACCTGCTAGTCATTAGAGTGGCTGGTTCTAAATCTGACTTTGATGAACCAAAATTTCTGAAATACCTGGATCTTTGTATTTCAGGTTGAATTATGTGATTTTTTAAAAATGGCTTATAGATTTGGATATGATTATAGATGTTTCTCTATGGTCCCAAATAAAGTTTAAATATTCACTAGCTATTTTCTTAATTTTTATTTAATGTCTGTCATTTAAAAATGATCAAGTACTCATGACTGGGTGGAATCCAGAGTAGATGAACTTAAGAGTCAGACCTCAGGCCAAGTTCAGATGATTGTGCCACAAGAAGTTGAGGTAAGAGCCCAGATGTGCTATGCTGGTCACCTTCTCTTGATAATGGTGCTTGAGAGGTGATCATTTGAACCTCTATTTAAATGGCAGAGAAGCAATAATTGTTATGTGTATTGCCATTACAGAATTTTCCAGGTGAACTTAAGCCCAGTGCACCCAGGCACTTAACACTTTTTTCCTTGGACCTAGCTTTAGATTTATGAAGAAGTCCTGATAAGCACCAGAACATTTTAATAGTTCTTTGAGTTTCTTGATTTATGATGAGTAAAGACTAATATAAAATGTTCTGAAGAGACGAATTAGGGTAAAAAAGAGCAAGAGGATGAGGAAGAATTTGTTAGATTCTCTTAGCCTCACCTCCATCACCCTCTGGAGGTGATCTGCTTTTCTTTCCGAGACCATCAGGTTGGTTTCTTTGGTTTTCTTTCATAGGTTACCAGTGTGAGCCCTACAACAATCCTGCATACTTCTTTCTGGACATCATTAATAGCGACTCCTCTGCTATAGTGTTAAATGGAAAGGAAGAGGACTGTGAAGGTATGTGAGTCTCAGATTCACATGTTTTTGCCTCACTGATTTGTGCTGCTTCATTAAAACATTGCTTTTGAATTTACACTAATGTTGTGTTCTGACACCAATCAACAGATAGGCTTCATTGTCCATGAGTGCTGTTTTTTAAATTTAACTTATTGATGTATATTTATATGGTACTATGAGTTATAAAGTGAGTTTGCACTAAAAAGAATTATGCTTGTGGTTTTCATAACATTAGAAATAAGAAACTTGGCACTTTATGCATCTGCACATAAAAGAAAGCAAGGACTAGATTTTATATTAAGAACTATGGCTGTAGTACGATGTCTATTTTAGGAACAAGAGTCCCAATAGTTAGGACAATGTCAGTTTTCTATATCCATAAGATTATGGCAGAAGTCAGGTCAATTAGCTGTGCTTACTAATGTGTAAAGCAATGACAATCCTTTTGATTTTTCTATATTTAAGCTTTAGAGTTAAGGTGTTATCCAAAAAACGAGTCACAGAAAAACAGGTTAAATCAGCTGTTATCTCTTAGTAATGCTTCTTTTCTTTATCCCTTTTATTCCAAAGCCAACAGGGCTGAACAGTTTTCCAAGAGAAAAAAGCCAGTCGTAGACACATTAGCGGAATTTTATGCCAACTCCTTCTTCTACAAAAACACAGAAGCTAGATTACAGGAGCTCTCAGATGGTCAGAAGAGGCGCTCAGGCTTTAAGGAGATCACTCATGTCACCTCCTTCTGCCATCAGTTCAGATGGATTCTCTGGCGAGCATTCAGAAACTTTCTAGGTTTCCCCTCGGTCACTCGTTGTCAGGTAACCTACCAGATCTTTGTGCTCTTTTATAGTAATGTGGGAACAATTTGGTTCTGATGTAGTCTCCATCTGGATTATGTGTATCCTCTACCCACCATTCCATTTATTTGTCATCTGCCCTGCACTTTGGATATAGAAACAGTCAATAGAAAAAGCAAAACATTAGTTTCTACATATGGAAAGCTGTTTTTTGTTGTTTTGTTTGTTTTTGTTTTTGCACGACTGAGGATTGGACCTGTGGGTGCTCGACCACTGAGCTTCCTTTCCAGCCCTTTTAAAAAACTTTTTATTTCAATACAGAATCTCACTAAGATACCAAGTCTGGCGTTGAACTTGTAATCTTCCAGGCTCAACTTCCCTAGTTGCTGGGATTACAGGTGTGCACCACCAGACCTAACAAGGCTATCTACTATCTCATTACTTCTCTAAATTAACATGAGATACTGTTCCGTTTTTTTTTTTTTTTTTGGTTGGCTCTGGGTGGTTGTTAATTATCATTCTTTAAGGTTTTGTTTTTGTTGCTGTTATTCTTAATCCCTATGTCGAACAGAACACTAGTTCTTCCAGACATTGGTCCATCATTTATATAAGTATATCAATTTTACTCATTGTTTTGGGGTTACTATTTTTATTATTAGTCACTGAGTCTCTGCTGAGTGCTGTGGTTTGTTCTAATGAAAGACTGCTGGCTACTTGTGTACTGTAATTTTCATGCATAAGTATTGTCACCTTCCAAATATATTTGAGCATCTACATGCCTTTTGAATTATACTATAAATTTTCCCAAATATTTTGATCCTTGAGATTTGGCATTTCTGCCCAAATGTGAACACTTTTGTGTCCTGTCAGTCAAGGGTCAAGTTTTCTTCTTTGAGAATAGATTTGATGTCATTTGGAGCATGTTAGGTGTGTTAGATCAATCAACCTGAGTTAACCATTTTCAAACAGTGATGCAATATAGTGAGTTGATTCTTCTTTGTGATTTGGCCTTTACTTTGAATTACTTGCCTATAAATTTGGTTTATAAATGTCTTATCCAAAACACATATGCATATATGGTAGTTAGTTGTGGACAGGCCTGATCAAAGCATAGCTATTTGCAATGTACCTGAATTGTGTGAATTGTGCTTTGTTTTGGTTCTAGGCTTTTTTGGTTGTTTCTGTTGATGCAGAGCCACATCCCCAGCCCTTTTTATTTTTAAAATTTGAGAAAGGGTCTCACTAAGTTGCTTAGGGCTTCATTAAGTTGCTGAGGCTGGCCTTAAACTTGTGATCCTCCTGAGTCACTGGGATTACAGGCATGCACCACTATGCCCTGGTCCTAAGTGCAAACAGCAGGCACAGAGCTTCCAGGTTGCATGTTAGCTTATTTACCTCATCAGTGAACTCAGTTCCACAAAAGCAATTCTAGCAATATCCAGAGAATAATAAGGGTAGAAGCTTATAGCTCCCTGAGCTCTGCAGGACAACTATTGTTATGGTTCTTAAACACTGGAGTTTTAGCATAGGCCTAGGCAAAACCTTTTTGTTCAAGAGCCAGATGGTATATATTTTAGACTTTTCAGGCCAACATGGTCTTTGTCTCAGAGAGTCCACCTTATCATTTTAATGTGAGAGTAGCCATAGCAAATAAACATGGCTGTGTTCTGATAAAACTATATTCATGAACACCGAATATCTAGTAAATTTCATTATCAGAAAAATATTATTCTTTACCTTTTTTTTGGTAACAGTTTAAAAACATAAACAACATTCTAACTTTTGAGTAGAGCAAGAATAGGTGGCTGGCCCTATTATGGCCCCAACGCTTCAGTTTACTGACACTTGGCCTGATGTTTACAACCTTCTATGTTTTTTTCATTCTCTAAATTTTGAACATGGAATTGTGAAAATGTTTTTTGACTCTCTGTTGATAATACCTTGCATCTGTTCTTGAGATATTCTTTTTAGCTTTGAAGTTTTCAAGATACATAGTAGGATATTTTGTTATCTTCAAACTTATATTTTTATAATTTCCCCAGGAATAATTATAATTGAAATTACTTAAATAAATTATATTATAATGTAACTTTTCATCCCTGTGACCAAAATACCTGACAAGAACAACTTAGAGAAGGAAAAGTTATTGTGGGCTTACAGTTTCAGAGGTTCAGTACATTTTCAGCCAATTCCATTACTTTGGGCCCAAGATGAGGCAGCAATCATAGCGGGAGGGCATCGTAGTGAGGAAAGCTACTCAGCTGTTGGTGGTTGGGAAGTGGGGGGCAGGGGTGGAGCCAGGGACAAGATATAATCCCAAGGGCATGCCTCCAGCGTCCTACTTCCTCCAGTCACTCTCACCTGCCTATAAATTATTAATCCATCAATTTGATCAAGCCACCAATGAAGTCCCAGCTCTTATAAACTAAACATTTTACCTATCACTATTCCTACATTGAGTGATATATAAGCCTTTGAGAAAACAGCACATATCCAAATTATAACAGTCACCCTTAAGCCTTTGCTAAGTGAGGCATCCTTTTGAAACTTTCTATACTAAAAACAAAGGGGATGTCAAGTCTCCTTGGGAGCCATTCACACTGACTGAGCAGGTGAAGGAAGGTGAGGCTGGGTGGGGGGCTTGGGGTCGGGGGGAGGCTCAGGTGGGACATTGTAGGCCTCAGTGGCTGAGGTTGAAGGACAAGCAGTGATGGAGGAGGTGAAGGAGGTAGTAATGGAAGCACTTGGGTGTCCCCAGAGAGAGCTGGCTGAGTGCTTTGGTGACAGTGACAATATACTTTCTCATACAAATGGAATCTTACCAGAGGTAAAGTGAAATGATCCTGCTCACCCTTCTTCCTTTTTTATAAAAAATGTTAGAAATCCTGTGTATAGTTTTAAAATTTTATTACTTGTTAATTTTGTGGATGCTGGGGGTGAAATCCATTGTCTTATGCAGGCTGGGCAAACACTGTACTCCTGAGCTGCATTCCCAGCTGTAAACCCTCTTAAAGGATGAAACTATGCATGTTCATGGACACAAAAGTTGAGAGTTCAGTTAAGTCTAAAATTTTAGCCACTTGGACTTTATTTTTTGCCTAAAAATGACTTTCTTAGCACATGCTTGACTTTACCCTGTATGGCATTGTGGATACAGAACCTCAACTGGCCCTAAACCAGGAGAGCCTTTTGGACCGAATCTTAGTTTGTCCAATCATCTGCTCTTGTCTTGTCAGTCCTCCCGAAACAACAAATACCTTAATTTTCAATTTAAGTTAGAAAGCAGAGTAATAAGTACAGTGTTTTATATTCTCCCAGGGATTTTGTCCATGCCATTTAAAGTGTTGCTCACAATAGAGAGATTTGATTATGTAACCACAATCTTGTAATAATAAATTATGTACAAAAGTTTTACCTTTAATTGAAATTCTTTCCTTTTTATTTTCATTTTTCTTTTTGGTAAGATGTTTGGCGTAGCCATTCTGGGATTGATTGTAGGTGCCACATTCCTTGTGCTAAAAAATGATTGTACTGAAATCCAGAATAGGTAAGTAAATTTAAATCTCAATTTGAAAAAATGCTGTTACTTTTTTCAAGCTTATGAACACGCTTTAAACATTTGAATTTATGGTAAATAAATGTCATTGTTTTATTGTGGGTAGAAGGAGTTAATGCATTGAAGAATGAATGGAAAAGTTCATTTTTTACAGATATATATATATATGTGATAGTAAACTGTACAACTCAAATTTATCCTTTTCAGAATTCTTAAGTGGACAGTTGGGTGGTATCAAATATATTTACATTGTGGGAGTACCATGACCACCTGACTCTAGACCATTGTTTTCATCCTCCCAAATGGAATCCCCATGAATCAGCTACTACCAAAACTCACTTCTCTGCAGACTGTCTAACACCACTCTACATTTCTGAATTTGACTACTATAGGAATCCTAAATGCATGGACTCTTGTAGTATTTGTCTTTTGGTGATGATTGGCCTATTCCCTTAGCATAATATCTCCAAGTTGTACCATATGTTGAAATTTCTTTACTTTTTAAGTCTAAATGATCATCTATTATATCTATATATGCCATTTTGTTTATCTATTCATTGGTTCATGTAAATTTGGGTTACTTCTACCTTTTAGCTATAATGAGTAATGTTGCTATAGGTTTATAAATATCTCTCTGAGTCCTTACTTTTAGTTATTTGGGGGTAAATATTCAGAAGTAGAATGGCTGGGCCATATAGTAATTCTGTTATTCTATTGAGGATCTGCATCCTGTCTTCCACTAGAGCTGCACCATTTTACATTCTAACCAATAGTTAATAGGGGTTGCAGTTTCTCCATGTCCTTACCGAAAGTTGTTACTTTTTCCTTTGCTGAATAATAGGCATCTACCGGATCTCTGTTATAATGTCCTATATTCACTTTAAAATTGAATTAATTCCTTTTGGGATATGGGATTTGTAAATATTTTCTCCCATTGTGTAGGCTGTCTTTTACTTTCTTGATAGTGCATTTGGTCCAGTGTTTATTTTTCTGTTACCTGTGAGGCAATTTCCTTTATGGTTTTTGATTCATTTGATTTCGGGGTACAAATAGGGTTGGCTGATAAGAGTCAGTGTTTCCTGTTTTATGAATAACATTTATCTTAGTGTTGTGATCATTACCTAGTTTAATCATAATATGTCCTTAAAAATCTCAGTTTAGGATGAGACATTTTATGTTCATAGCATAGGTGCTTAGCAACACCACAGACCTCAAGGTTCTCATCATAATTCATGTATGAGAACCACTGCTTTCTAGACATTGGATCCCATGCTTGACATCCACAGCCTCAGCCTCCCAACATCCAGAGGGGTACATGGTCCTATCCCCACTTTAATATTGAGGACAGTTGAGGGAGGTTATAGAAAATATGTTTTGATGTCTATTAAAGGCTGATTATTTTTAAAAGAAAGAATAAGTGTCAAAGTCAATTCTCTTTTTTCTTTTCTCTCTTTCCTCTCTCACCTCTTCTCCTCTCTTTACTTCTCCCCTCCCCTCTCCTCCCTTCTCCTCTCCTCTCCTTTCTTCTTTCTCCTCCTCCTCCTCCTCTTCTTCTTCCTCCCTCTCCCTCCCTCCCCCCTCCTCCCTGGCACTAGCACTAGGGCCTAAGTCCTCAGGCACTCTACTACTGAGCTACATCCCAAGCACTTTTTATTTTTATTTATTTATTTTTATTTTGAGCAAGTTTCACTATGTTGGCCAGGCTGGTCTCAAACTTGTGATCCTCCAGCCTTGGCCTCCGCAGTAGCTGGGATTACAGAAGTATATCACTGCACCTGGCTAAACATGGATTCCTCACGTAAGAAACATTTTTCATCTGTGTAGAATCAGATAATGTTATACTATAATATGATTATATGGAGATTTTCCTGAGTTATGCCATACTTCTACCATCCCTAGAGGCTTAGATCTCTGGGTTATTTCCAAACATGCTAATATTTGGTGTGTAGATTCCACTTCTTAATCCAACAGGACCAAGAGACTGTGCTCATATTATGTGTCTGGAAGCAATTGAATAAAATATTAAGAAAGCTATCCTTAACTGAAAAATAAAGACAAACTAAAAAGCCAAGCATTAAAGGTCTTAGGAGAAAACTCCAGAGACTATAAGAGAGCTTTAGTAATTTCTTCAGATGTTCTCTGGAGAAATTGGACATTTTCCTTGTTTTAATTTGTATATTTGCCTATATTTACTACCATTTTTTTAATAAAAAGATGAACTATGTGAAAATGGCCTCTGTGTGTAGCTTTTCTAATCTGTCCTGCTTCTTGTGATTAGAAAAAAATGTTTCAATTTCATTTCTGGAATCAAGTTTTTGAAGCTTCCTTCAGGGGTGAATATCAGTGCCTCATCTTTTGAAATTGCTGGGGAGGCCAACCCTTTAATTCTTCTTTAGGATCAAGCACTGTATTTGCATTTTCTCTCGCCTGTGTAGCTGAGGAAATGGGTTTCAATCCTTTATGGAGTGTGAACTCCTTTAACTCTGTAGCCTTATAGGCTTATGATAACAGATAAACGAATGAGAAAAAAAAAAGTTAAGGTGTTTTAAAATAATTGGATCCAGTTGTCTCACTTCTGGGTATTAACATGAAATATTTCAAATCAGTTTGTTGAAGAGATATCTGCACTTCTATGCTCACTGAAGTACACTTCACAATAGCCAAGTTGTTGATTCCATCTAAGTGTCCATCCTAGGATAAATGAATAGGGAAAGTGAGATGTGTGTACACATCTGTGTACACAGTAGAGTACCGTTCAGCTCTAAGAAAGAAATTCTGTCATATTTGACAATATGGATGGAAGTGAACAACATTATGGTAAGTAAATTGAACTCTTAGAAGCAGAAAGTAGAAAGAATGGTGGTTGCCAGAGGCTGAGGGGAAGGCAAAAAGGGAGAAGGTGGTCAAGTGTGCAAAGTCTCAGGAGAAATAAGGGCTTTTTTTCCTTTGAGATTTTATTACACAATGTGATGAATATAGTAAATACTAATATATATCTCAAAACTGCTGAGAATTAATTTCAAAGGTTCTTATCATAAAAATGATAAATATTTGAAGTGGTAGATACTCCTTTAATTATCTTGTTTGATTATTTCATATTATGTTCATAAACCATAACTTCACTTTGTACCCATAAACATGCAAGTATAATTTGTCAACTTATCATTAATATTTTAAAACAAATCAGATAATTAAGTAGATAATACAGATATGGCTTATCACCTTGGAAAGAATTTGCACAGAATTCCATAAACATGAAAAAATTTAATATAAAATAGATTATCCTATGTTTTAGAAGGAATTTTATAATCTCATATTTCAGAATCATTAACATCACTGTACTGTTAGATGTAACACAACATATTGAACTGAATCTTTGCCATGTCCCACATTTCTCAAATTAGCTTTTGACTTGATATTAGATTTATTCCTGGCTCAAAAGTTGTGTAGTTGATTTTCTGTTAGGCCTGGCTGATTGCCATTCGGTTTAATCATTGTATAAACATTTACATTTAAAATAGCCTGTACACTTAGTTCTTTATTCTGTAGGTACTATGGAAAATTATTGTCAATGGACTCTTTTTTTCCCTTGAAGTACCTGTGATTCTTCACTTGCGTTACAATTTTTAAATGTTTTATTGCTTTTGTTATTTAAATGATGTGTCACATCATCTCTTTTTTTCAAAAAGTTACAACTAACATCCTCCATATTAATTAAACTGTTTGGTTGTGACGTGCAGCCCATCCACGTTTGAAGTACATGCAGTTGCTTTTATGACATCTATGTATCTATCAAAATGTAGATTAACTGAACACTTTCCTTTTTAAACCTCAATCATTTTTCTAAAGAAGCATTGAAAGACTTCCTTTTCACATAAATGCAAAAATTAATTGTTTTTCACGAATCAGGATCAGTTTGATTTATTTTCTTTGAAAGCTTGGATAGGAGGGTAGTTGTCCCGTGTCAAGGCTAACTGTCAAGGCTTTGCTGATGGTCAGGTGCTGGTGTCTGTGGTATAGAGCTGAGTGCAGGTTCCCTCCACTGTCTGGCATTTTCCTTCCCCATGTCTTACTTTTTTCTTACTCCACTTGAAGATCAAATTAGCTAAGTGAATGTTTTAACACTTTGGGGCTTTATTGATCTTCCAAATATACACTAGAATGATAGTGGTCATTTTCTTTTTTAATTGAAGGTGATACTATTTCTGTGACCTATGAATTAGCTCAGGTTGCCATGACTAAATGCTATAGATATGGTGGCTTAAACAATAGGGGTTTATTTTCCCTTAATTCTAGAGTGTGGAAATCTGAGCTCAGGGTTCCATTCCAGGAGGGTCAGTCTCTTCCTGGCTTTCAGGTAGCAGCCTCACTCTGTACCCTCACAGTAGAGTATGATATGATGTTTCTTCTTCTTATAAGGACTCTAATCGCATCTTGGGATCTGTACTCTGATGACCTCATCTAACCTTAATATTTCCTAAGTCACCTACTTCCAAATACCTGCATTTTGGGGATTATAGCCTCCATATATCAATTTCAAAATGCAGTCATAGGAAGATAAAAAATCACGGGTATATGAAGTGTGCAACAAAAGGAAAGAGAGTTTTGTGGTGGTGTCAGAAGCAAATTGGAGGTGGAAAATAAAATGGGCAAAGAATGTGACATAGTTTAGCCCTCAGTGGATAGAGGAATGGAAAGAACCAGAGGGCAGCCTTATAGCAAAAGGCAGGTTGATTTTGTCTCTTCTGCTTTTTGAAGATTCAGTTTACAGTCAGCTAAGACTATGAGTTTCAAATAGGGGTATAATATGGAATTATAGGGGCACTATGGTGGAGATAGAGATGCGGAGAGACCTTAAGGATTCATGCTTCCCTTTTAGTGTTAACCAGAATAGTTCTGCAACCTGAAAGGAAAAAAAATCTATTTAATGTTATGTCTTTTATGGAAAGAGTTTGTGGGTAGAAAACTGAGCTAATGGCATTGACTTGACTGCAATATTTTTGTTCCTGTTCTGTCCTGGCAGAGCCTGGGCACTCTACGTGCTGGTTGTCGTCCAGTGTTTAAGCAGTGTGACAGCTGGGGAGATCTTTGAGCTCCAGAAGAAAATTTTCAAGTGAGTTGGTCTCTGTTTCAGAAAGGGGCATCAGTATCTATTGGTCATACAGGTCACTTCTAGGATTGGGACAAGGATGTGATCTTGGAGATTTGCCATAAAATGTATAGACTTACCATTCACAGTGTGAACTTTTGAGATATAGCTAGGAATTACCAATATTGACTGAGAAAATGCAGTCGTGAGAAGGTAAAAAATCAAGGGTGTGTAGAGTGTTCCACTAAAGGAAAGAGAGTTTTGTGGTTAGCTATGACCAGCCAATCCCAGTGCTGCAAGAAAGCAAGCAATAATCAAGGAGGAAAGTATCTTTATGTTTTCAGGAAATAACAGCTCATTGTGACCCTTGCAAGAAAAGTTTGGTAGAGAGTAAGTGGTGGCGTCAGCAGCAAATTGGAGATGGGAAATAAAATTGGCAAAGAATGTGACTTAGGTTAGCCCTCTGTGGATGGAGGAGTAGAAAGAGCCAGAGGGCAGCCTTACAGTAAAAGGCAGGCTGGTTTTGTCGCTTCTGCTTTTCGAAGGTGCAAGAGTTAGCCCATACATACATGCCAAGGACAGGAATCTTCAGAGAACAAAGGAATGAGGACACTGGTGGAAGAATTTGAAATTATGGGAGAGAGACATCAGGAAGAGGAAAGATGAGGATTTGGTATCTGAAAGGGTGTATTGTTGAAAGACATGATCATTGAAGGAAGTCTTTTTAAAATTATTTTTGAAACAAGAGCAGCAGAAGTAAAAAGAATTTGGGAAATTGCACCTGCATTTGGGGGCCTTGGAAAATAATGAAGTCACCTTTTTCACAATCGGAAGTGGAGCCTCTTACTATTGAGTTTAGCCTCTCAAGTGCTGCTCTTCAGGCAAAGCCAGCCTCAGAGGAGAAGCAGGGTCTCTGAGGAGAGTGAGGAGACACAGACTCTCTCCTTGAAGGGGTGATGTGGGCCAGAGTGGGCAGCAGCAGGAGAAGTACTAACATGAGAGAGGGTCACAGTAAGAGCCTCAGGGAGCTGATACCCTAGAGAAGCTCCCCTGAGATAAAGAAGGGCATGGAGGGTCAGTCTGGAGCCAGCAGGCAGCTACAGTGTCAGACCTGGTGGCAGCAGGAGTCTGCACAGCAGCATCTCATCTGGGCTGTGTGGTGTGTGTTTTTGTTCTGCAGACACGAGTACCTCAGTGGATACTACAGAGTGTTGCCTTATTTCCTTGGGGAACTGTTATCTGAATTAATACCCCGGAGGTTGTTTCCAACTATTATATTTAATTCTATACTATACTTCATGTTAGGTAAGTAGCAAGATGAAGAAGATGTGTCTTTAGTCTTGAATATGAGGTGATGCTCATTTCTCTCTCGAGCATATTCATGGTTATTAAAACTACAAACCAAGCTGTATATAAGCTATGGAAGTACATATACCCTCCATGCACTCTGGTAAAATAAGTGTCCACTGATGGCATTGTTGTCAAGATTTTCCCACCAATTTTTTTTTTTTTTTTTTTTTTACAAAAAGTAGGAATTGAAACCAGAGTGTGAGCATGGTAGGCAAGTGCTATATCACCAGAAATTTTATTTTTGTTTTGTTTTGAGATGAGTCTTAATAAATTGCCCAGGCCTACTTTGAACTCGGGATCCTCCTGCATCAGCTTCCCAGACACCAGGGATTGCCAGTATGCACCCCTGTGATTAGGCCAACCAAACTTCAAAACTATTTATAAAACTTCAATTTACTGCTCTCAGTATATATAGAGAGAATAGATAAGCCAAGAATATCAACTAGTTTGTAATTTCTTCCATGTTTGTGTATGACACACAGAAATGCTATGTGTCTTAAAATCCTGATCCCTGACACACAGAGTTGCTGGGTGTCATACACAAACATGAAAGAAATTATAAACTAGTTGATATTTTTGCCTTATCTATTCTCTATATCTATATGTCTCTATGTAGAGATAAAATACAGAGAGGTAATATCTCTACTGTGTATAGGGATGTATTGAGAGGGATAAAAATATCAATATATACATATATTCTCTCCTTCTCCTCTCTAATCAGAGAAAGAAAGATGATAACTTTGGTGCTCATTTATGTAATAAAAATACTTATTTGGGCTGGGGATGTGGCTCAAGCGGTAGCGCGTTCGCCTGGCATGTGCGGGGCGCTGGGTTTGATCCTCAGCACCACATAAAAATAAAATAAAGATGTTGTGTCCACTCAAAACTAAAAAATAAATATTAAAAAATTCTCTCTCTCTCTAAAAAAATATTATTTGATGGCTGTAGATGGATTCCTTTGTGCATTAGACTCAGGTTTCACTTCAGATACTGCATCAGAATTTCTCTCTCTCTCTCTCTCTCTCTCTCTC